ATTAGTAAAAATGCGTGCAATCAATTCGATCAATAAGTTATGATGGTACGTATACCATATATGCTGTCATTACCCATTGAACTGCGCCTATCCCTGCAAAGTATGCCGTGCAACCCGTCGTACTGCCCAATATGTATATGCAACATCCTGTACGTTATATTGCGAAAAAATTGAAAATACCGCGGTCCACCGTAAGCGATGCTATTACGCGTTTCCGAAGAACCGGCTGTAATAAGGACAGGGCTCGCACTGGGAGGCCTCGAGTCACTTCCAAATTAGAGGATAAGTCCCTAGCTTTGATGTAAAAAATGAATAAGAAGCTTACCGCACCAGAAATCCGCGGTTCAATGAAAATCATGAACATCAGATATCGGTAACCATTGTCAAGGATCGTTTGCGTAAAACCGGCCTTTAGGGCAGGATTTCCACTAAAAAACCGCTCCTCCGACGCGGGAACAGGACAAAAAGACTTCAGGTGGGTTTAAAATTACAAAGACTGGACCATCGAAGACTGGAAACGAGTTTTATGAACCGACGAATCAAAGTTCGAAATTTTTGGTAAAAAACGAAAAACGATATGTCCGTCGCGCGCTTTCGGAAAAAATGTATCCAAACTGCATAACTCCTACAGTTAAACACGGCGGAGGATCCGTGATGGTGTGAGGATGCTTCAGTTATACGGGCGCCCACGCATCTCCCAAGATCTCCAGAATCAAGGGAATACTTAAGTAGAAAAGCTATCACTCAATTCTGAATAGGCATTGTATCTCGTCCGGTAAACGTTTAATTGGTCGTGGCTTTATCATGCAGCAAGACAATGATCCCAAACATACTATAAAATTATGTTCTGACTATCTGTATTGTAAAGAGAAAATGGGAGAGCTCAAACTGATGGTGTGACCTCCTCAATCTCCGGATCTTAATCCCATAGAACTTCTGTGGGATAAACTCGATTGTCGAGTCCGGAGGGTCTGTCCTACCTCTCAGGAGCACCTTTGCGAGATCCTTTTTTACAATAATTAGTGTTTTGCTTAAAATTTTTCCGACTTTTACTCATGTCCGGAAACTTTTCGACGGCAGTATATATAAATATTTTTTTTTTTATTGCAGAATTATTTTATTGTAAAATAATTTTTTGTTTTTTAATTCTGAAAATTTGACTTTTTAATTTAAATAAACACATTTCAACAAGACGCAATAACAAGAAACTACGGTGAATATTTATAATTGCATAGTCAGGCTCGATTATCTTGATATTTCACATGTTATCAAGACCTACGTACTTGTTTCTTTTAATATTCAGAACATTTTCACAATGCATTTACATTTACTTACATACAGTAAAGTAAATACGTGGGCGGGATAGGAACTCCG